ACGGATTTTGATTAGCTTTTCGACGTATATATCATACATATGAAATCTTTGTGATCGAGACTGTGTGATCGTGGTGTTTCACTTTTAATATGTTTTTGATTTTGTCATGTCAGTTATTGTATACATCTTTCGTTATTGTGTGTTTTGTCAGATGCTAAGGGTCAAACGGTGACATACAGTTGGTGGGAAGTTATATCATAGGTAATCATCCTACATCTTCCTATTTTTATTTTAAAACTGGCATCCGAAAGGAAGGTTTTTTTTTATGTTTGACATCCCTATCGTCTATCGTTGTAGACATTTTGTCGTTTCACTTCCGGATGCAATTCAAAGTCTAGACACATATGCACCACGTGTAAAAGTCATATATTCGACAATGTTATGAAAATAACGTAAAAACAGTTTATATTAATATAGTTCTTTTATTGGAATATCATCTATGAATCTGCAAACCAATTTTTAAAAATAAATTTACAGTAATCAGTACTAAAAGATTAACAAAGACTGAAAAAAGAGTACTCATAGATGCAGAATAAAATTCACCCCCGCTGATTGATCTCAATTAGTAAAATAACGTATATCTAAGGAGTAAACAACAATTCTGGAAACTGCTAAATTTGTCTAATGGCGTCGGAACCTTAATGCCGTAATAATTACATAACCGATCAAGAGGAATTTTTTAAGAGATATATGTTTTGAATTATATCAGTACCGCAGCAGTGACTCCTAACTGATGATACCCACGGAAACTAACAGTCTGCCAGCAGTGGTAGAAAATGAGAACATCGATAAATAAATATCACACAAACATAATATTAACATTGATAAAAAAAAATTAAGAAGAGATCTGCTGAACCTTACCAAACGGCAATATACAACCTTGCTATCATTTCATACACCAGTATCTGTAAAACGAAAACGTTGACCAGTGAACCATGAAAATGAGGTCAATGTCAAATGAATCTTGCAAGAAGGACATTTAGGCATCAAAATCATTCTTTGCAGTAGATTTAGATAACAAAAATTGCTAAAATATGTAAGAAACGAACAAATTCAGAAATCTATCGTTGACCATAAGCTATGACAATAAGGTCAAGGTCACAAAAATACCGACAGACAGACAGTTGCATTACAATCATTTCATACACGAAATCTAGTTGACAGGAAACGGACTTTATACGAAAACCAAACGTCGACCAATGAACAATGCAAAACAAGATCAAATTTAGATGAACCTTACAAGACAGACATCTTCACCATACATTCATTCAATATACTAAATATAGTTGTCCGTTTGATGATTGTACCTGATAAACAAACTAAATCACAAAATCGTAAACTTGACCCATAAACTGTGAACAGATCAAGATAAGATATATCCAATAGGTACAGTCAGACATGTACACCTTACAATTAATCATGTCATACACCGAATGTTGTTTGCCCATTGCTTTCAGTGAAGGCGAAACAGACATAAACTAGCAAAGATAAATGAAGTTTAGAATAGATGAATCCATTCTGATTGACATAAATTGCTTAATGATTACTTTGTCAAATAGTATTGTCATAATAGATGATTAATTACGTTATAAAACACAATACAGTTTTTAGCTCAATGAACCTTGGAAATGAGGTAAAGGACAATGGACATTTGTCAGACGGAAACTTCGGAACACCAGTCATCTGTAAAACAAAATTAAAGTATATCAAGGTGTTTTACCTTATGAAATATAAAGCGTTATAGGTTGCAAAATATGGACATTGTGTATTTCATTGAGAAACCATATTTTTTTGAAATTCTCATAAATTCCAAATGTTCAAAGCAAACTCGAGTTATTATACGATTTGTATAGGAAAGAATGAATACCAGTCATAGTGGATAAGTCACTGCCATTCATCTAAGTGCAATTTTTCAGTATATGAATACAAAATAAAGTTTTCTATAATTAACGAAAACATTTGGTAAACAATTCAACAACTTCAATATAAAATTGAAAACAGGAAAATGTTTTATTAAAGGAACATCTCTCTAAACAGAGAAACCACGCTCCACCGGTCATTAACATGTAAAAATCCAATAACGACCGGTTTTCGGGTCCGTTTTTTCTGTTAAAAACCGATGGAAATTATTACTGAAGAATAAAGAATGTCATGTGGCCCCTTGTTATCCAATAAAAGAAGCTAATTCTTAACCGATATGAAATAATATTTGTTTCAAAGGTCAAAACATAGGGCTGTGCGGCATATTTTCCTCATTTATATACCTCGAACTCCTCGAACTATAAAATTCTGTACTACCCCTTCCTTCACTTTGACTGCTATCCATTTGTATTTATACTGGTAAAATTCCCTAGTTGTGTCTCTATGAGATGAATCATATCTGGGAACCAGTAGCTAAACAAAACAAAATATCTATGAATATGAAATATCTCCCCATCAGATGCATGGTTTGGGAAAAAAAACTGTATTTACAAAGTGCAACCTATTTGCCTCGTTTCTCCGACTTCACAATCGAATTCATTGATTATAATTCTTATTTACGGGATAAGGTTAGTTTTATGTTGATTGGTGTTTATGTTTATCAATGTTTATCATGATTTTAGTTGAATGATTGTTGTTCAATCAAGGCAAATGCTAAATATTGCATTTTTATCAATGACTAGAAAAATTAACAATAAATTCAATTGCAAGGTTCATCCCATGAGGTAACACGGGATGAAGGACATGGAATTGGGGCCACCAATTGTAAAAAAATATGGTGTGTTTGATCGGGAGGAAACCATGCGTTTAGACAGGCCGCCTACGGACCCTAAAAAGTTTTCCAAAGGGGTTGACCGACTCCATACACAAAGCCTTTTTCAGTAGATAATATATATATGATACATCGACCTTGTGAAGAAATTAAAATTGGTGCGTGTGCTTGCAATCGTTTAAGAGGAACAAGAATTCGCAAAATTGGAGGAGATAACGCGTATAACATTATTCTAGATTTTTCATATGACAATTTTCAAAAAAGAATTAAACAAAATACCAATCTCCACAGTAATTTAAAGATGTTGTTTATAGTTCAGTTTTATTAACAAAATTGGATGGGCAACCCAGACATTATTTGTGATGTGACAACAGTTGGGATTCAGCAGCCAAAATTGTATAATCATACATCACAGACATGTAACACAAATGACGCACATTCAGACAAACATACACATAAATCTGACAAAGACGCAAATAAAAAAGTTAATCTAACAGGGAGGCTTTCAAAATAGTTTCTGTAGTTGATAGTACGTAGCAGTATGTAAAAACGTAATGCCGTAAAATATATTTAAAATTAAGTGTATCTGAAATGTATTTTTTTTCTCGAAAATTGAGAAATTTTGTGGTTTCATGGTGAACATGTTTCTTAACAGATGTGGCTTTTTATTCTTTTTCTTCTTTAATGTCTCAACATAAAAAAAGTTTTATAGAACTCTATGCTGTTGTAAAAATACCATGTCTGCAGCACTTGACAGGATATCTCCGTATGGTTTATTTGCTAAAGAAACAGGGAAATAATAATCAATTGTTAGTATTACATTATATGTCTACCACAGATAACTATAGAATTTATTTTTTTGAAAAAACGTAGCTGTTTGTTAATTTACTCCGCACGAATAAAAGAATGTATTTCTAGTTTGTTTAGTGGCAGACGGTAGAAATCCAAATTACTATATATCTGTACCTTCCTCAACCTCTGCGGTTGCGAAGAACATTGATTGGATGTCATAAATCAAACTTGATTTAAGGAAAAGAATGAATAAGAAATAAAAGAGGATTCCCGAAGTAAAGTTGACTATCACAGGACACATATTTAAGGTTTTCAGGTTTGGAATATTCTGCATTAGCATGAGTAAGTTACTCATTCGAATGATGATTGATAGATATGTTTTTTGTTAGAATTGTATTGAACTTTATGTTAAATTTCTATAGTCACGGGCTTATTGATGGGTGGTACTAAATGTGTTTACTCAGATTTGATCTCAAATTGACAGAAGCATGAATTGTACGGATGAATTTGATTTTAACCATTTTTAATTTGTTAGGATATTAAAAGGGTTGAAGGACAGACATAGCCTGTAAAAGCTCTCTCAACATTAAATGTTCAAGGTCTAAAACATAAATAAACAACCATTATTCAAATAGTAGAACGACAGAGGTTCAGTGCATATTGCTTATGACTACACACATACACGTACGTGTTTACAGTGTTTAGTCCAAAATATATGTTATATTCAAGTGTGTAGGCAATAAATCATCAGTCATTTAAGTACCTTGGGACATGTATATAACCAACACCATTTCTATGTCATAAGAAATATAAAAAACAATCATGTTTGTAAGAGTCACTACCCTCATTTGGCGAAAAAAGTTATATAATTTTGGAAACAAAGAGGAAAAATTACAAATTAAAACGATATTTTCCAAACATAACGATGAGTGGCCTGATATACTTTAAACGGAGTACAAAAATAACAATGTTTATATCATACGAAAATAATCTATTTCAAAAAGTATTAAGTAAATATAAATGTCAACAATATTATCAACTTTTGAGTGAATGAAAACTATTCTCAGATTCCTCAATCTTTTTTTTGTTACCTTGGTTTGTATCCACTTTATCGATTATTTGGATTTGAACATCGATTTTCTACTGAGATTTTTCTTCAAATTGAAAATGACATAAGGAAATGCCATGGATTTAAAAAGTAATATAATAAAAATCGTATATTATTAAAAAAATAAAAAGATACAAAATTATACATAACAAAACAAAGATATGATTTGAAAATGCAGTATAAAATCTTCCGTAAATGCTAAAGATTCCGTGTATATTCAAGTCATTCTTAGTAGAAGGAAAAATTACGTTTTCAGAAGTTTCTATCAGGAAGATACTTAACACCTTGTGCGTACTTCTCAAGTAGAAGTAGTACAATTACATGTGATGAACTACCTTGGATGAAATTTTGGCAAACATATTGTCTGGGAAGAGAGAGGAATCATATTGGCTGTAAAAGAGAACAGGAGGAAATCAACAATTTCTATTTGGCATTTGGTGAGTATTCGTTTAACATATTGAATTAATTTCAATATCTCAGTAGTTTTCAATCAACTAAGATTAAATTATTATATATTGATGGAGGAAAAATCTGGTTAAAAATTCTGACAAACAATTTTTGAAATGTCAATAGCGTTTTATTGAGAATTTCTCAAACTGAAATGTACGTGAAGGTAATAAATACTACTTGTGCGATTTTGAAATTTAAGGAAGAATTCGAGTAACATTACAGAAATCTTCCATCAATTGTTTTTTTGTTATTAATCTGCAGATAATCTTTAAGTTATAGATATATACCATGTCAAATTGCCGCGAATCTCCCATTCTGTTAGATGCTATGGAAAATGCTAGCGGGTAGTATATCAGCTGGTCACCATTGTGTCATATTCGTTATGATAGTAGGGTAATCATATTGATTGATAGATTGGTTGCTTAATGACTTTTAAACATTTTTATGGGAAAACAAAGAATATGTGGTATCCACCAATGACACAAAATCAGTACATGCACAGCAAAAATGAACTCTTGTCAGTACATATGGACACAAATTATGAAACTGTCTCTCTACAATGGACATTTTCCCTTTATATCCAATATGTTTAATGGCTATTTTTTGTTATTTCATAGTTTTAATTTTTTAGTTCTTTTTTTTTTATTAGAGTATTGTTTTGATGACCCGTGGAATATTTCAAAAGTTGACAGTTCTAAATCAAAGATCTATACAACACAAGTTAACTATTTAACCTTTTATACGTTCTGTTATACTAGAACAAATATTGTGATAAGTGATGAGATTATTAAAGCTATTAATATGCACGTTATAGCAATTACGTTTATAGAAAGGGTACAAGTATTCCTCTTTAATAGCTGATGTGTTCCTGTACATATCAAAGTTTATGGCTAAATCGACGAAATTCTATTTACTTAGTAATAGAAAAATTCAGTAACAATTGTTATTACCTTTATTATATGGCTGCTTTAAATAGTCAAGAATTTTCTGATTATAGTACTAAAATTAACATAATCAGACTCATTTCTAGGCAACCTAAAATAAACAACAATAATTGTCCATTTTGCTAGATTTCAATATTTTAATGTGATACAGGAAACTTTAAACTAAAATCTGCACAAAGGAAAATATCTTTCGAGTCGTTTTGTTAATTTTCTTTTGTTTTGGAATGTGAATTTCCTTTTGTGTCTGTAGTGACGTTTTAGATTATAATGAATGTGATCTGTGTATAACATGTAAACGAGTAAGTCAGAGATTTTGTTCACAGACGTTTCTGAAAGCCTTTACCAATTTATTTCATAAAATTCAAATATTTGGTTCGGAAGTTTGGCACAGATATATCTACAGACATATTACAAACAGGATATCGCATCATAATTGGTGACATTAATGTTGTTGATGGAAACCGTGAATGTAAATACCATCCATGTTAACTTATTGATTTTTTGAATAGATTTGTTATGAAAGTATACCAATTAAAAATGGTACTAAGATCTCTGATTGTCTCCATTGAACTGACATTGGTATTGTTTAAAAAAAATAAGTTAAATATATATATATATATAGTGTCTAAAAATAGCAACAATCAAAATTCAGTCTATCTAGGCGTGGATCAGTTTGTAAATAAACTGATGCAGTTACTACATTAAATTATATAAGTGCCTAAGAATGTAACTTTAACACACTAATGAGTGTTATAAAATTAGTTGTTATATTTTATATTACTCACGCAATATTTCGCTAAACAAATTAGCTTCATCAGCCGCGTGCAGCCAACCAGGTAAAAGTTAGAGGCTGTGAAGAAATTTTTGCAGATCAATGTTAAATGTCTAGAAAAATATTTTTGCCGCTTATTGTACATAGCAATTCTATGTACAATAAGCGGCAAAAATATTTTTCTAGACATTCAACATTGAGCTACAAAAAATTATATGCTATGTACAATAAGCGGCAAATATATATATATAACTTTCTTCGTCAGTTTTTATCTAGTGTCGTAACACAGTACATGATATATAAGGCATGAAGATGGAATGTTTACAGATCAGCTGAATAATCTATCGTAATGGATCTTACCAAATTAATGTAGGACGCAGTCACAGAAATAATTATATTATAAGTACGTCTGAACCAGTGACAACTCTACGATAGATTTTATCCATCGGATCACCAGTGATGGTGATACAAGGCTGAAAACACATTCTGTATATATAATTCGTCTAAATATCAGCACAACAATGTTAGATACATATATATATATATATATATATACACAGAATGTGTTTTCAGCCTTGTATCACCATCACCATCACTGGTGATCCGATGGATAAAATCTGTCCCAGAGTTGTCACTGGTTCAGATGTACTTAGATATACATTTGTGAACACTGCTGATCCTACAAACTGTCAATATGTATATTTTGGCATTGAACAAGGCCATACTTTTCTCCGGCTGTTTATGACATCTTTAATCCAATGATTATTTACTGATCACAATTCTAATCTGCGAATATGGGGTTTACTTTATTAGTTGGATTTTGCTTTGATCTAGCTTTTAATGATATATCGATACCTTGTTTTTTCGATCCTTTTGATACGGTTTTTTGTGTTACGACTATTATACAAGTGAGAGGTATAGCTAGCTATAGAACCAGGTTTAATCCACTATTTTCTACATAAGGAAATGCCTGTAACAAGTCAGGAATATGACAGTTTTTTTTCATTCGTTCGATGTATTTATGCTTTTGATTTTGCCATTTGACACGGGACTTTCCGATTTGAATTTTCGGTATTTTTGATATTTTACTTTTTAAAGCCGATCTGAAATGTTGTACTGTTACATCTACTAATATGTTCTAGGCTAAGAGAGAAGTTAAGCTCTTGGAAACATGTTTTACTCCGCCAAATAACGTTTATGTCTGTCCTATATTCATGAGCCTGTTATTCCATGGTTATCATTGATTGATATCTGTTTTATTTGGTGTTTTTTGTTGTTGTTTATAGCATAAATCAGGGTGTTGGTTTTCTCTTTTTAATTGTTTCACATTTCGTCAGAACGGGGTCTTACAGCTTACTATTCTCTACCGCATTGAATATTTTTGACGCGGTGCTGTAATCGTAAGTTGTATACATCCGCGTCCTTTAGTCTCATGTCTCATGAATTACAGGTGATTTGAAAAGAATAGAACATTATCAGTGCATAGTTTGTTAATATTGTCGTAGTTAAAAAGTGAAAAGTCGAAAAACATCAGAGGACTTATCATAATCGTCATTACAATACCAGCCATTTAGAGACTTATCTGATGCTGGCTTCCAATTTTGTTCAAATGATACAATGCTACTGCGAACTACGAAATGCATTTCAATTTCAAGATTTCAATATTTGAAATAAGACAGTCTCAAGTATATAAAATCAATATTTAGAATAAATGAAACTTGATATTCGCTTTATATAATTGTATTTTTAAGTTGTTATTTTGTGTATTTGCAGCCTGTTATCCTGCAATGCATAAAGTATTAGTAGTCTTCCTTATCTGCACATGGAAGTATGCATTGGGTTTTCAAATTCAACATTTACCATGTTTAACTGATGGCTCGAAGAAGGATTTGTATGATGCTAGAAAAGAACTGACAATAGTAGACAGGTACTTTGGAGAGACTGTGGAAACCCTGCAGGATGAGTTACAGAAAACTCTCAATATCATGAAAAATCAATTAGTGGCAATGCAAACCAACGTTAACAAAATATTAAAGAAAGTAGAAACTGACCTTACTATTATGAAGAAAGATGTGGACGGTAAGTTTTAACTAAAGACATTCTTAACACCCACACACACACAAACACATATATATATATATTTTTATATATATATGAAGTCTATAAAAAGGACCAACCAGCAAATTTACTATGTACCGGATCGTCTAGAATAGACGATACTGTGCAGATAAGGAAAATATTATATAAGTCTAAAAATTTGCACAACGATACTAATATAAGATGGTATTATACGAAGATGTTGTTATTAAATCGTTTTGACAAATATTTCTGCTATTTGTTTAGCCGAAATATTTGTCAAAAATTTAATAACAACATCTTCGTATAATACCATCTTATATTAGTATCGTTGTGCAAATTTTTAGACTTATATATATATATATATATATATTCAAGTCTAAATTGAAAACAACGTTCAAACCTATGATTGCGTTGGATAAAAACCGCAATTTTTATACGTGTGCATGTAAAACAAATTTCTTTGTCTATATATATATAGATTGAATGTTGATTGTTGCTATTTTTAGACATTATATATATATATATATATATATATATATATATTTATAAAGTGCCTGGAAAATCAACCTAACAATGTTAGAGTAGATTTGATTGTTTACTTCCTCACCGTCCGGGGCTGGAACCTGTACTTTTCACTTCATACTTCTACGACAACACCGCCTAGCATTGCGCTGACACCTTATCCCCTCCTGTAACTATAGCTGATAGAAATCAGCTTTCGTTTCGGGAGGTGTTACCTTCTCGTAGGAATTAAACAAGGACATTTAGACGCAATACACAAAGTATTTTTAAGTGTACAGAAATGATCATCTACATATCTTTAGTCTAATTACAGGATGCTGTTCTATTTTTAGAAGCATACAATCACTGTAAATGTATATATATGTATGCAGACATAAATATTTATAAATTATATATATTATTCACATCACTGAAGAGACATTAATTGTCGAAATCCGATCGGTATGGTGTACTAATTTTTGCACCTTTTGTTTGCGGTTTACCATCTTTTCCGCGAGTTTATTGTTTTCTGTTTGGTATTAAATTGATAGTTAAGATCCATTTTGTTACATCTGGTGATACGTTTATTTGGCAATCGCCAATAGCAGTCAGCAGGGTTTAAGAACATCCGTTGTTCGACCTGCTAGTCAAATGCGTTTTGTTAAAATACACTTTTTCACTTTTTTGGTCTTTTGAAAAATGTTGTTTGTGCTGTATATATATATATATATATGCAATAACTTCACATTCAATGGTGAACACTTTCTCCAAGTTAATGGAACAGCAATGGGAACAAAGATGGCCCCGTCTTATGCCAACATTTTTATGGGGAAATTAGAACAGAGAATTCTCAATTCTTCTCTTTATCAACCCCTCTCTTGGTTCCGATTTATCGATGATATTGACATGAAGTGGGATAATACTGAACAAGAACTAAATTTGTTCATTCAACATGCCAACGATGCCCATCCCTCAATAAAATTCACATATGAAATCTCTGACTCTAAGATCACATTTCTTGACACTACAACGCAAGTGATGGAAACATATTTACAGATCTGTATTGTAAGCCCACAGACAAACATCAATATCTATCTCCTTTGAGTTGTCACCCTAAACATTGCACCAAGAGCATTCCCTACAGCCAGGCCATACGAATAAAAAGGATTTGCTCCACCAACGATATTGCAAAAAAACGACTACAAGAACTTCGCGGTCACCTTAAACATCGGGGCTACAAAAGAAAAGACATTGATAAAGGTTTTTCTCGTGCTAACAACATCAGCCGAGATGAACTTTTACAATATAAAGTCAAAAAGGTCAACAGGAGGGTGCCTTTTGTGTTGACTTACCATCCAAAATTTGACAACTTATCTCACCTAACCCGCGAAAATTGGAAAGAAATCGAAAAACATCCTAAACTATCCAAGATCTTTCCCGAGCCACCTGTACTGGCTTTCCGTAGGCCCAAAAGCCTTAAAGACTTGCTGGTGAGAGCTGATTTATCCTCTCAAGCAGGCTCTTCGTCTGTGGGCGCTTGCAAGGGTTGCGGAAACAAACGATGTCTGACTTGCAAACAAATACTGGTTACCCAGACTTTTAACAGTCACTCCACTGGTACAGAATACACCATATTTTGCAATGTTAATTGCAAGACTACAAATGTTGTGTATCTCCTACAGTGTAAATGTGGTAAACAGTATGTTGGCGAGTCAGAACAGCCGTTTCACAAACGAATGAACGGTCATCGTAGCGACTACCAATGCAAGCCAGACCTCCCTCTCAGTCGACATTTGAGATCCCCTAGCCACACTAAGGCAGATCTCAATCGACTGACCATTACAATCATTGACCACAACTCTGCTTGGTCTAGGGAGGATAGACTCACTCGCGAAAGATTTTGGATAAGAAAATTAACAACTTTGGCACCAAATGGGATAAATGAAAAGATGTAGATGCAGTGCTTCACATTTGTGTTATATTACTTATTATTACAGTCTCTGTTTCTATTTCTTTACTTTACTCATCTCTTAAATCTGTTGAATATACCAATTTAAATTGCTTAATTTTTTGAGGGATGTAAAAGCACCAGGCCACGTTCAACTAGTTAACCTTAGTCAAAATTTATTATTATATTTTAACGGCCGTTTGTTTGCGATGTTTAAATACGCAGACTCTGTTGTAACTACTCTACCGTTGTCAAATTTGAAATATTTACAAAATTAGATCGTTCAGTGCTGTTTATTTGGAATTCTTATTGACGCAATCGTTCTTGTAACATCATAACTGTCGTCATCGTTAAAGCTTTAGAATTGTGCTAGTTCATTTAGCACATTATTATTTTTATTTAAAGCATATATTTGAACTCTCTGTTGTAATTAGTCATATAACCTATGTCGTGTTTAACACATATTTAGAATTGTGCAAGCGTCTTACCTGATGTTCGGTTTGACTTTTTTATTGTATAAATTTCAAGATTGTTATAGTTTAATTTAAGAAGACTGATATATGATTTATTCAACATCACAATCATACTAACTGATGAAGGATATCTGTTATCCGAAATATTTATAAATAATTACATTTATAGTTCCTTTTTTTGTTATTGGTGTTGTTGTGTACACTTTTTAGGCGTTTATATATATATATATATATATATATATATATATATATATATATATATATATATATATATAGAAAAAAGTCAAATAGAATCCGTATGCTGGTAACATATAAGAAAATTAATATAAGATAATGACGGTTTCAATTCATCACTTTTACTAGCGCTTTCACTGCTTTCACAGATCTTCAGGTAATGTGACTTGTATACATAAATGTTATAAAACAATTGATTGACGTTAACAATAGTATGACGTTAACAAATACAAGGGAGACTACTAAAGTCGAATTTTGAAGATGTTAAATATCGTTTTAGACTTTTTGACTGTCTTTTACTGTTGATGATCTTCTTTTTTTGTAATACTTTGTCCATTTTTTCACTTTTGTGTAAATTATTTTCAATTTGTCGCATGAAACTAAATATATCATAATCTCGTGGGTTATATGTTGTGACAAACGGGATAATTTTGTCTAAACTGTTTGATGATTTTTCGGTTGTTTCGGATCGCCGTGATTCTGTAATGATTGGTCCTTTTATCAGTGCCTTTTGAATTCCGTAATCTATCACTTGTTCCGGATATTGCTGCTTTTTTAAATACACTTTTAATTCTTCCAATCTTTTATTGCGTAATAGTTCTGTACTTGTAAGGGGTCATTATTCTTGACGCTAGATTAAAAGGTATATTTAATTTTACATGTTTTGGATGATTTGAGTTAAAATTTAAATACATATGTGTATCGGTGTCTTTAGAAAAGATATCTGTGACAATTTCATTGTCTTCCGTTATAAGTACTAAAATATCCAAAAACGGCATTTTGTTGACATTTCTGTTAATTGTGAAACGAATATGTGGGTTTAAAGAATTTAAATCAGAATGAAAATCTGAGACAGATATATCCGAATTCTAAATTATAAAACAATCGTCCAGAAATCGTTTCCAGTTTTGACGTAGGTAAACGGCAAAGTCATTTCCGTATTTATGGTCCATTTTTTCGTATAACAATTGTTCCAAATATCCAAGTACCAAAGTGGCGTATGAAGGCGCCATTTTAGTACCCATAGCTGTTCCTTTTTTCTGATGATAGTATGTGTCGTCAAAGTAAAAAATATTTCTTTCTAATATAATTTTTAAAGATGCAAGGATAAATTCTTTTGTTAATCTGTTTTCAATGACGTTTTCCGTATTTTCTAACCAATATTTTACGGCTGTAATTCCTAAGTCATGTGGGATATTTGTGTAAAGACTGACAATATCAAAAGTAATGAGTTCTGAATTAGGATTTACAGTTGTTGGTAGATGATTTAAAAATTCCAAATCGTCTCGTCTAAAACTAGGAACTTCACGACATAAAGGTTTAATCACAATGTCTATAAAAATTCTGTGTGATGCTGTTGGGTCCGCCCACAATAGGTCGAAATTTTAAATCATTTGGTCTTAAAAGTTCGATGTATTCACTGTTTTATTCTGATACCGCATTTGAAATTTCCTCACCTTTGTGAATTTTAGGTAAACCATAGAAATAGCTTTCTGAAAATTTAGAGTTTAAAATGTAATCTATCTCCTCTTTATACAATTCAGGTCTTATGTTTATCTAGTAACTTTTTATCATCAGGGCTAACGACCATTTCCATCGTTGTTCTAATGGACGATTTTAAGTATTTCCGTTGTATATGGTCAATCGTCAAAATGAATTATTCATAAACATTCTCAACCCGGGATTAAATGAAAAATAATATTTTATTTTTACGAAACATTTTAAAGACTTTACTCCAATTTTAAAATGACATAAGTAGTCTCCCTTGTATTTGTTAACGTCATACTATTGTTAACGTCAATCAATTGTTTTATAACATTTATGTATACAAGTCACATTACCTG